AGTGGTTGCCTGGGATTTGGGGTAGAGGAAGAATGCACTGCAAAGAGGCATAAGGAATCTTTCTGGGGTAATTAAAATCTTCCCATCTTTATTGTGCCAGTATTTTCATGGGCATAAATAAATGTCAAAACTCACCAAATCATATGCTTTAAATGGATGCACTTTATTGTACATAAGTTATATTCCAATTAAGCTGGTAAAAACAAATTTTTATGCCTTCCTTTCCCTTATTTGCCCCCCAGTAAATTATTTCTGCCTTGAAGGGGTTCAGAACAGACCTCTCCAAGATGTGCCACTTGGACATGTGACTTATTTTGAGCTGAAGGCAATAGAGAACCCTGCGGGCTCACAAGAAACTTTTAGCTCTTCCTTAAAGAATTTAAATCAGGGGACCCAAGCATAATGAGAGTTATCACCCTAAATAACTTTTTATGACCTATCTATAGGACAAGGCAAACTTCTAAATTACTAAATATCTGCTCTTCTCCTGCTAAAGACCTTTCTTCCCTCTCAAGCCCCAAGATATCCTACCTCATCCTTAGCTCCCAATGTCATCATTACCCCATTTTCCCTTTCTGTCTCTGAACCTTTCATGCATGTGGGGTCTCTGACTCTCTCTGTATATGGTTTCCTGTACATACATATGTCATTAAATTTGGTCATTTCCTCTTGTTGATCTGTTTCATGTCGATTTGATTATTGGACCAGCCAGAACGTAGGAGGGTAGAGGAAAGTTTCTTTTTCCCCCCACAGCCTCATCTGGCAAGGTTTGGAGAGCTTCACCTTCATCACATCTTTTGAACATACCCCAGGTAGGTAGCTCAAGTTCCTTCCAATGGTTCCCAGAACTGGAACAAATACTGTAGATTTGGTTTGAACACATTCGAGTACACTGGGGCTCTGTTACCTCCACTTTTTTATTACTATATAGTCATATCAGGCTTTGCTATTTTCAGACTTTCTTGTCTATCTCATGTATATTATATCAGTCAACCTGAATATTCTACTTCTGTCAGTGCTGCTTTAATTTCTGTAGACCTTTCTGAAAGTCTGCTCACATTGATGACGGATATTGGATTTGTTTCCCAACTAGAGAACCACACCTCCCTTATCCTATGTTCATAGTATCCCTTCTAGGTACTGAAATTTTCATTTGTCTTATTAAATTTCTCCTTTTGGCTTCAGTTCACCTTCCAGCCTGCCAAGGTATTTTATATATCAAGTTATTTTATAGTTATGACATCTAATATTCTTACTGCTTTGTGTAATACACAAATTTAATGTCTTATTTTTCTTAAGTGAAAAATAAAATTATTTAAGGTGACAAAGGTCAAAGACAGAGTACTGAGGCTGGCCAATAAGGATTTCCTTTGTAGGTATCATAGATTTATTCATTATTCATCAAAGCTCTTTGGGTGCAGTAGTCCTTCAAATTGCTTTGAATTTGCCTAAGTGCTTTTTTAATTATATCACATTTCTCCATTTGATTCACAAGAATACCTTGAGAGACTTAAATGTCTTGAGAATTCACTAGTCTAGGCATTAGGAGACGGGTTTTAGGCCCAGCTTTACTGCTTTAGCTGTGTAACTTGTGACAAAATACTTACTCTCTCTAAGCCTCTGTTTCATCAACCAGAAATTATATATAATACCACCTGTACTATACCTCATACAGGATATTTTAAATATCAAATAAGCATGTGAAAATGTTTTTTAAAAATATTTCTTTGCAAATATAGATCACATCATTTATAACAATGTGAAAAGGAAATGACATTAATGCACAATAGAATGACTAAATAAAATCTAACACATCCATATAATTACATAGCTACCAAAAATTATAATTGACAGAAAAATGCTTATGTTAATAGTATAACAGTGATTTTAAAGAGCAGGGCACCTAATAGTTAACCCTACTACTAATGACTGAAGGGGGGTAAAAGGCTTCTGTGGGTCTTGACAATATTCCTATTTTTTTATCTTGGTAATGGTTAGACAATGTGTTCCTTTGTAAAAATTCATCGCATTTACTCACTGAGCACTTACTTCCCTGTTTGTGGGAATTCGTTTAAGAAAAATTTACTTAAAAAATTTTATTTTTTTTAAAGAACTCTAAATAATACAGTAAGACATTCTCATTTCAAGAACCAGTATTTTTTTTTTTTAATTGGGAATTGGGGGAGGGGAACAGTGTTGGGGAATCAGGGTAGGGGAACAGACAAGCCGCCGTCCCTTTTGTTCCTCAGTCCAGCCATGGAGGACGTCGCCCCACTGGCCTATGTTGTTCTCACCACTGTGCTCCTCCCGGGTGAGGCAGTCGCTCGCCGGCCATTGGAGGGCCGCCCATGGTGGCTCACGGCAGCTCATGCCAGCTGCCAACCAGCCCCACTGCAGCCTACACCGTCGCCTGCGACCCACGGCAGCCCAGCTCCAGGTCGAGCTGTTGTTTACCATCTCAGCTGTAGAGGGCACAGCATCACTGACCCTAATGTGGGATCCGAACTGGGGCCCTGCTGCTCAGAGCTGGCGTTCCAAGCCAACTCCCAACCAACGCGCCAACTCGGCCGGCCCAAGAACCAGTATTTTTAAGAAATGGCAAGAAATACAGCAAAATGTTAATAGGTGGTATCTGGATGATGAGATTATAGTTGACTATTATTTTCTTCTCTGTAATTCTCTTCAATAATCAGAAAAAAAATTTTTTTCACAATCAGGGAAAAATCAAACTTGTATTTTAAATAAAATGTTTTCTAAATTGTAAACATGTACAATGTAAAGCATTATTCTAGCACAATGCTTGAAACATAATAATGCTTGAGAAATGTGGAGTGAACAATTACTCCCCTGTGCACCAGGCAAGTGCTTCTTTCAAAAAAAAGGGAATCAGTTGACACTCTTAGCTCCCACAGAACTCACGCTGGGAGCGATGACTACTACCATTTCTAAGAGCTCACAAGCCACCTACCTAATGATTCTTCCCAAACGTTACCAGAGCCAAATCTAGAAGATAACTACTTCTACTTCACTCTATTTCCTGACAATTTCTTCAAGATGAACTGATTGTTTTTGTCTGGGACTAAGGCCCGAAGTCATTTCAATCATCCAGGTGCTTTCTATACCACATCTCATCCACCATGAGGTTAGGGTAGGCATCCTCTCTGGAGCCCCACTTCTCAACCATGATGGCTCTGCTCCTCTCATTTTCTAAGCATGGCAATCACATAAGCACCCTGCCACCTAAGAGTACACCACCTGCCCTATCAGGACCTTTTAAAAAATTCTTTGTCATACTACTACCACCACCACCACCAAACAAAACAAAGCTTCCTTTTTTTCTTTTGCATTTCTGAAAAAAACGTTGGGAACTACCACTGCAAACACTACTCTTAGAGAACCATACCACTAATTGGTCTTGCCCATGGCTTTGTGCATCTTTAATTGGGTCCTTGTCCTTTTAAATCTTAGCTGAGTTCTCAAGAGAGCATCAGGAGATGTCAGTTTAATGCCACAAGTCCCCGCCCAACGAACACTGCACGGCCTGCTGTCCCTCCCTCCCACATATTCCACTTTTGAGTAGCTCCCATGCCACTTGAGCTTTATTTTATTGATTGTTCAAGATTCTGTCTAATCCTTCTCCAAGGTCTCCCTGTATGGAGGAAGGTGCAGGGAGTAAAACTCAGACACATTTGTGACATAGGCTAGCTTTAAGTGATAAGCCAAATGAATGGAAATGGGGTCCAATGGGGACAGTAATGAATTCTCATGCTTTCCCCCAGTGCCATAAACCCCAAGCTGCCTCTGAGAGCCTGAGTCAGAGATGCTGTTGCAGGTTGTCATCTAAAGTGGTGTCTCAGTCAGGTGTTTTTTGACTCTGGGGAACTAGATGAAGAATTGGGAAATAAACCTCTCAAGTTGATAAGTGTGCCTCTTCCAAGTCCATTTCAAATGCACCAGTTAAATAGGTTGTGCTTTGCCCGCCAGGCACCTCTTCCTGAGCTCACTTGCAGTGTTTGAGAGGGACAGAGCTGTGAACTGAACACAGCCTCAACTCTAACTCTGGTTGCTGGTCCCTTCCCAATCTAGCGTTGAGGAAGTGCCTCTGCAGCCCCAAGTTACAGCTGAGTGGGAGGGGATGCCTCACAGAGCCAGCATCTGCCACTCTGCTTCTAGCTGAGCCCTCAGACACCCAGTTTTGAGCTGGAGGATCAATTTCAATCCGGTAAAGTACTTAAAGCTCAGGGGCTTTGATCTCTGCTTGGCAAAAGCCCTAACTGCTAAATACTAGAAGCTTTGCCATTTCCTCTTTATCTGCCGTCTTTCATGTTGGCCCCAGCCGTTTAAACATTCCTCCCAGTGTTTGGAACATGACCAGAATGTATGTGAAGGGTTGGGTGGGGATGAGATGGGTTGGGGAAGGGAGGAGGGAAGTTGTTTAAAGGAAGAAGCAGAACAAAAAATGCATGTTGGTTATCTACAAAGAAACGCCTACCTTACATTAATGCCACATTCTAAAAACTTTTTCCCAAAGGGCTTTGAAATGGAACAAGTGCGAAATGGCTCCAATTCAACCAAGGCAGTTAAAATTCCTAACATGGCCCACTCTGGGTGGTACAGGAAACACAGTGACATCCTTGCTGTTTTTAAACTTGAACTCAAATTGTTGGTATGAGAGGGAAACAACATACATTTAAAAGCAACTTTACTTTCTTCTCACAGCTAGCATAAACCTCAAGCCAGCAAGCCCATTTTCTCTTGTTCACAGCTTATTTCAATGGATATGAATAATATTCTATATAATTTTATAATGTATATATGCTAGGATCTATTTGCCTTCAATTCAGTTTTGACCATTTCTATGATCTATTAAAAGTGCATTAGGCTATAATGAAGACACTATGTGTTTTTTTTTTTTGAGACCCTGTATTTTTGCAAGCTCTTACTTTTATGATGGACAAGGCATCGATAACTGAAATTTCATTATTAAAAAATAAACCAACCTTCCCTCCATCAAATTTTAGCAGGGGTTTTAACTTCTTCCATTTTTAAGCTTCTCTGAATCCTTTCCTGGCCGCACCCTCTGGAGGAAAGGAAGGCAAAATGGCTAAAAATATAAATAAGAGAGAGATCAAAATAGCCAGATAATCAGGCGATTGAAAACTGACTTGGGTCAGTTCTTCTTTTTCTCCCTTCCTTTCTTGACTTGGGTAATAACATCTCTACTTTGGATTATGTTCAATACCAAGAAAAGAAACATCAGCATTTGAGTTATAAAAAGGAACCAAATTTTATGAAATCATGTACAGCTGGGTATTAATACTAACATCCTAGAAACAACACAAGGAGCTTGGTATAAAGAAACCCTCATCTGCTTTCCTCATCTACCAAAATCCAAAGTTAAGTAAAACTGAAGACAGGCAATTTACCACCTTTATTGAAGTGAATACATATTCTCCAATTTATATATGTTGTATTCCAAAGTTCAAGGACAAGTGCAGTTAAAAAGCACTTTCCACAAAAACAATGATATACATGGTGGATCAAGGGTTCCAGATGGTTTGACAACTACAAAAGACTTTTCAACAATGTCACTGAATCAGATTTCAGTAACATTATGTAATACTTCTCTTAGTGACGAGGATTCAAATACTTACTAGACACTCTATCATCAGATATAAAAATTATATAGGAAGCAAAGGATCCATTATCAAATCTCAAACAAGAGGGTTAGTGATTACAACAAAAAACACCCACAAACAGAAAATGTGGTTATCTTTACATTAAGATTGAATTGCTGGGGTGGGTTTCCCTGTGAAAGGGTCAAGGTTTAGCGGGTTCTTCCCCTTAGTGGGTGGTGAGACTCATTCCTTTGCCTCCTAAATCACTATCTACATTAGCTTCAGCTGGACCAGTCAGGGGTCAGGCATTGGGAAAGTACTATGCAGCATCCATTATTTCTGATGTCCCCTATATAGCTCCCCTTCTCCCCAGCTATTGTCCATCTACTTGCAGATGACACAACATGAGTCACTTTAGCTTTCTCTTCATTTAGACATAAAATGTAAATGGCCTGCTTCAGATCTAAAAACTGTGTGGTTTTTGGTTAAATGTATAATCAAACAACAAGTGTAAATGAGTGATACCAGATCCCTCATTTTTATAGAGGAGAATATTAGCCATCTGGAAAGGGAGGGGGAGAGGGAAGACTAAGGAATGGGTTTACAAGAGAAAGAATAGGGTACGGAAGGTAAAATTGAGGCTCTAGCTTTTGTTTAGTGCCAGCAAACTCACATGAACACATGCACATCTAGGCAGGAAGGCGCTCCTTGGCATGGAATTGAAAACAAAGCATTTGTACTTCATGTAACAAATTATGGTTTATGTATGTTTGTGCTTTTACAAAATAATTGGTTTGCACTTGAATAAAGAAGCTTCTTTGTCAGGGACTCAATCAAGAAACCAACATTCTACATTTAGGGAAAACAAGTACGCCACACCAGGAGGAGGAAGCAGAAATCTTCTTCCCCTTTTCCCAGGCACAGGGCCAGGCTTCAAGAACATTTTAAGCCAGATTGTTTGGCTTTTGCTTACTCCTACCAGGTATGCATGCAAACACCCAGGGCCTCCATGTGTGCTTACCGTACCTAGTACCCTAAAGTGCTCTGTCTTAAAACCTACCCATTCTCTCCTTTCTCACTTCTACCCCTATCAAAATTTCCTTTCTCTCAGAGAAGGGGGGTAGGGCTCCATTTACTAGCAGAATCTCTTAAAATAATCAATAGTAAGGTAATATGTCAATGATCAAGTAGTGAACATCTCTCTTAGAGACCTATGTTTTATGACACAACGCTGAAAATCTCAAATGAATCTCCAACTGATAGAATTTCAGGCAAAATAACTGAAAAGTAAAAAATAAATCCAGGTTTATAGGTCTATGTTAGGAGATGGGGTTAACTTTCCAGGTAGGTCATACTGAATGTACATACAGTTCCTTTGGGCCATTTCTACTTTCCATGGCGTCCTCACTTTATCTAGTTTAACCCAGAAATTCTGAGATACCAGTGGTTGTTCTGGACATCCCTTCTCACTCACCCACCCACCCAATGGACAGAGGGAAATATAACAGAGAAAATATGGCATACCAGGGTGTAATGTCTCAAGTAAGAAGCTTACTTTCAACCTAACAATAGTATATTACCGTTCATTATATAACATATAGTTTAGGTAAATTATCATGTTATAAAAATATGCAATAAAATCTAGTAAAAAAATCTCTGATATGACTGATGCTTTGATAATTCTCTTAAGTAAACAGGCTACAGTAAAACTGTAGTTATTGGCTAAGTTCCATCAATTTTTTTTAATTCTCTTTGATTTCTTTTCCTGATCTTCTGTTATCCTTTCTGCAGGTCGTTTCTTCAACCCCTTCACTTTCCTGGTTTGTAGTTTGCTTAGGTCTTGCTTCTGCATATGAATTCTTCCGTAAGTTGTACCAAAAGTATCATGGGAGATATTTTTCTTCTTTTTTGGCTATGAAACAAAATATATATATTTAATGGTCTGTACTATTCATGAAGTGGTAAACATCTAGTGCACAACTACCTTATTAACAATTTCCATTAGTGAGCGCCCCTTTAATGATAGAGTATATGTCACTTGTGGATCTTGTTAAAATGCAGGTTCTAATTCAGTAGGTCTAGGGTGGGACCTGAGATCCAGCATTTCTAACAATTCCCAGGTAAATTGTCAGACCACAGTTTGAGACACAACATTATAGACAACACTAACCTTTGACATGCACTGAGAGAATTTCCTGTGTTTAGATTAAGGAATTGTGACTGTCATTTCATTCTTTATTGGCATTCCAGAGATGCCAGCTCTACTTGTTTTTTAAAACCATTTAGAAGTCAAAATACATTTTATGCAAGTATGAGCTACATATCCTGTGTTCTAAATTCCCAGTCTTCACAGTGCCCAAAACAATTCTCCTTTTTGCTGAAAACTGGCAGTCATGGCTACCAGAAAGCTCTCAGCCACACTTCATGCCTGGTTTCTGCAACTCTTTTTTTTTCGGCCCATCAGCTCCAAGTCAAGTAGTTGTTTTCAATCTAGCTGTGGAAGGGGCATCTCAGTGGCCCATGTGGGGACTGATGTGACAACCTTGGTGTTATGAGCACAACACTCTAACCAAATGAGCTGACCAGCTGCCTCTCTGCAACTCTTTTATTATCCTTTATGGTTAGCTAATTTGCTTTGTCCTCCTTTTCTTGACTCTGAGAGAGAAATGTTATCTATTTTATTGATCTCTTTACATCCTTTAAATGTATGCTGCAAAACCTTTTTGAAAAGAGTGGAATATACAAATATATATGGCACCGATCTACAAGTCATGTACCTTGAGGGCTTTTGGCATTTTCATGGATAACTTATAAAGGTCATCTGAGGCCAGATGCGTCCTCCTCAGAACCAGATCCAATGAGGGTCCCATTTCTTCCAATTCAATCCGTGGGGTTCTGCAACCAGATTTCTTCAACAGCAACCTTCATGAAATTAGGAAAAAAGGAATGTTGCTCTGACTTTGGTAAAAATCCAATCCCCACCAAAAATTTGTGTTCAAGAGAATTACAGTTCCAGGCAGGCTGAGTGGCACATTGGTTAGTTGGCTTGGGACGCCAGCTCTGAGCAGCAGGACCCCGGTTCGGATGCCACATGAGGGCCAGTGACACTGCGCCCTCTACATCTAAGATGGTGAACAACAGCTCGACCTGGAGCTGGGCTGCTGTGAGTCGCCAGCAAAGGCGTCAGCTGCAGCCTCTGCGTAGTGGGCTGCCATGCTACCGTGAGTGGCTGGCAGCCCCAAAAGCTGCCAAGAGCTGCCATGAGTGGCCGTCCAGTGGCTGGCAACCGATCTGCCTCACCTGGGAAGAGCGCAATGATCACAATATCAACATGGGCCAGTGAAGCGACGTCCTCCACAACTAGACTGAAGAACAAAAGGACAGCAACTTGTCTGTTCCCCTTTCCCGATTCCCCAATGCTGTTCCTCTCCCCCAATTCCCCAATAAAAACTTTAAAAAAAAAGAGTTACAGTTCCATAAAAGGGCAAAAGTCTTTAGAAAGGCTAAGCTTCTTAAATATTTTATACATTTAGGCCAAGTGTATTTTTTGGTTTGCTTAGCTTTAAAAATCAAAGTATAAGTATTGTTGAGAAACAGCAAGTGAGACAGACAATTCTTTTAAGAATTGGAATCTTTTGATCTGACTTCCTCATCTTTTGTAAGATTTACATAAGCATAAAAATAATTTTTAAAAAACTAAAAAAGAAAAAAATAATAATAATTTTAACTGGGTCTTTGAGGCATCATATTTACATGATTAACAAATTCTTGTTTCTCTAAGACCCACTCAAAATCAACTTTTCTCCACAGCTCAGACATTTACTAATCTCTACAGACTGGAATGAAATTTAAAATCTTAATGTAACAAAAACCACAACTGTCTGGATACCACATAAACAAATACTGCTGGGTCTGGAAACATGAGGGACAGAGTAGGGAGGAGGGGAAACTGGCAAATGCTTTTTGTAAGTGATACCACAAAAACAGCTGAAAGACCTGAAGACTAAGGTGACTCAATTTGTGACCGTGGCCACAACTCCACATGGAAAAAAATAATTGACTGAATAACAATGTTTATAAAAGATCAGCCTTTTCACACAAAAGCTGGAGTGTGAGAGGCAATAGGTGACATCAGAGAAGAATAAGAAGAGGGAAGCATAGTAAAGAATACCCAAGAGAGCAGCAAACACCAGGAAGAAGTGTGTCTGCAAAAGTTCATCACCAGTCCTTTGGTCCCTAAGTGCAGTGCATCACTGCATCACATGCAGATGGCCAACCAATACAGTCCACCCACAGGAGGTGCATTCATTTACTGGCTTCAGGAAGAGTCACAGTGATAAATATGCTGTATCACACACAGTAATTTATACCCAATTGTACAAGGCCAAAAAAAAAGAAAAAAAACCACCAGTCTAGCATATTGTAAAGAGCTGAAGAGTTAAACAAACAAACAAACCAAAAAACTATTAAAAGATAAAATGAATATTAGTATGCGATTTCAAGGGAACAAGCTCAGGGAAAAATACACTAAAAGAGAGTCCTAAGGCCACTCTCTTCACGTGTTTCCTGGAGAAGAGACCTGAGAGAATGCCTCTCAGGCACACTGAGGGGGAAAATAGTTTTAGAAGCTCAAGTTGGCTGGTTCAGGGCATCTTCCCGAAGAGCTAATTCAAAACATATAGGGGCAATGACCATTTGACTATGTCATATCGCACATACTTCTGCATTTGCATCCACATTTTCAGTGCCTCCAAATAAATATTTATAACACTGAACTCATAGCAAGATTATCTTAATGATCACATCAATAAAAAGTGTGTTCCGCTGACTACTTAAGAAAGCAGGGAAATGATATATAAAATTTCAATTAAAAAATTTTCTACTGCTGGGCCGGCCGAGTGGCACATTGGTTAAGAATTGGCTTGGAACACCAGCTCTAAGTAGCAGGGCCCCAGTTCAGATCCCACATTA